CCCCCCGCGCCCCCGCCGCACAAGACCATCCTGAGAAAGTCCACGACCACCACCGTGTGACCCGCCGCCCGGGGCTGCCGCGGATCCCAGACGGGGAGGCCCCAAGTTACCGACCAGCCGGGGCGAGCCGAGCCCAGCAGCGCAGTGGGTTAGTCCGGGGCCAACAAGGGCTGGGTGAGCTCGCGGCCCCCCGCGCGCGTCCCGCCCTCGCGGCCTGCAAGACCGCGGACCCGGGGGAGGAGCCCCCGCTGGCCGGGTCCGGCGGCCCGAGGAGCCCCCGCTGGCCCGGTTCGGGAGGCTGACCTCCGCCCACCTTCCCTGGAGATGCAGATGCTTTTATTTATGGTGAGAGCAGGCTTGGGCCTCAGTTGGGCCTCCTTGGTGGATGCTGGACCCGGGACCCGCGCCCGCCCCACCCAGCTATGCACTTCCACACGCCACGCTCCCTAACTTTGAAATTATACTTTTTGATAAGAGATTTTTTTAATACCGAAGGACTATTTTATTATGCTTTTCCAGAAGATGTTTGTCACTAGTTTTACATTACTCAATGCTGAGACAATACCAAAAAGTTTATTTTCTCTACTATATCGTTACGAATTACACATTCAGATAGAGGTAATACTGCATTTTCATCGGTGGGAAAAGCCTCGTGTCACCAAGTGGTCGTAGCCAATGCCCAAACCAAACGTTTCCCCAGAATTAAATGAAAGAAGTGGTTCATTTTATCCCATGTCCATATATTCAATGACGAGTTTGGACACGTTCACGGTGGTGGATGCATATCAGAGCTTTCTAAACTGGTAGCATCATCCATGTTGTAAGGGTATCTTACACACTGGGATAACAATTCAGTTCCAGGCTGATCCTTCTAGAATTATCTGCTGAACTCATGATGCTCAGCCGCCCTCCTTCCCCTCTTTCCCAGCCTCCTTGCAGAATGATGTGCATTATACACCAGCCAATTGAAGCTGTGATTTGCTTGCCACCTACATCAGCAAGCTCTCTGCCTTCCTGAAAGTATCCAGATTTATGGGAGAATTACAGGAGAAAATGTCGATGTTTCTGGCAATAAGAAGTAATCAGCAGCAGCCCTAAACGTTTTTCTTTGGAATTGAAAGCTGTCATAGTTCTTTGCTACTCCAGGCAGAAAGAGGGAAGGTTTGTTTTTTTTTTTCTTGTTTCTTTTTCTTTTACTGTCATTTAAAAATCCTTCTTTTCAAAAATCTGACTACTCATAAGCCAGTCTGAGTTCCCGACAGCACTGATTTGGATAGAAATGATGTTTTGCTGTAGAGTTAAATTTTTTCAGGTTACTTTTTCTCCTTTGAGTCATAAGAAGAAAGAGTGGTGGAGAACATTTTGGTTCTTTAAGTGGTCAGAAGAGAGGGAGTTGTGTTAAGTGGAAGTTCATTCACTGTGTAACTTGAAGAATGCCACGATGTTTGGGTTGTTTTTATTTAATTTCTGAGGTAGTCTTCAGTCTTGCAAAAAATTCAGGCCATATTGTAGTAATTTGAAATACTGTTTTTAAGCAGCTTTCTATGAAAAGATGATAATGTATTTTTGAAAGAATATATAACAAGAAAATGGGCTTTATTTTTCAAGGAATGAGAAAATGAAGAGCAGAATGTCATGTTAAACATTGACTCGACATGGAAATTTTTCTTTATGTTTTGCATATAGAGGTAATGAAACCAGAATTATCCAACTTTCCAGAAAGTTGTGAAACACAGAATCTATAACCGAGAGGACATAATCTATAAGTTATAAAATGTATGATCACTGTATTTAAAACTTATGAAGATGTGACAAAGGTAAATAAATGATTAACATGTTGAATGCAAAACTAATGTGTTCTTAATTATTTTTGTATGGGAAAACAAAGCCAAGAGCCTTGTGCCTGCTAGCAAACGTGTTATCCTTGAGCTACCTCAGTCCTTTGGATTTTTTTGAGGCAAGGTTCCATACTGTGTAGACCAGGTTGACCTTGAACTTGGGATCCTACCGATTCAGCTTTCCAAGGGAGGGGATTACAACACTTCACTTTTTACTGTAAACACTCACCATGTGTATTCCTTTTATCATTTTTCCAGGATTAAAAATTACTGTGTTTCATTTGACCTCCAAGTACTACACCAGTTGAGTTTGTAAACAGTCATGGAGGACATGAAGGTTTTGTTAAATTTTAGATTGTCTTCCTTTTCCTGCCAGTGACATAATAATTACCTCAGAGTTTGAAACTTACACCTTTTGATGTTTGAGAACTAAGGTGGATCTCAAGGTAGAACTTCCATGGAATCACAAATCTTTCACATAACAGATTGTTTGCTTGTAGTAAAACCAGTTGACTGTGTTATATCATTAAAGCTGGGTGAGTAAGGAATTAGCCAGATACGTTTGCAAAACATAGACAAAGATTTGTCATGAAAGACCATTTCACTGTTGGATGGATGATCTATGGCTAAACTACACTTGTTTTAAAATTAACTTATTTTTAATATTTTCCTAGAAAATTGAGTGAAATCAATAAAAATGTAATTTTTATTATATTGCAATTTATAATCAACATTAAATGTTAGATTACAACAGGATTGCTCTTTCACTTAGATTATTTTACTTCTGGTTATTTCTTTTTTTATTACTGTATGAATATATTGTGCCAATGTAAATTTTGCCCAACAGAGAATTATACTGCATTCAGTAGAATTTAGTATTTGAATTGGCATAAATTTGTAAAACATGAAAGCAATTAGCAGAGCACCCTATTTTCTGGAAGCATGTACTCATATCGTAAATGGCAGTGCTGTTTTTGTAATCAGCTAGCATTGCTTTCAGAATTCGAATAATTTGCAGTGCATGCTCCGCACATCACCCACAGAAGCATGATAAGGCATGGTCACACTTTCCTCGTCCCAGAGATCTCAAGTAAGAATGGTCCTAGTCATCTGAGAGCAGCTGCTACACTTCTGTCTACATGTAATGTGCACGACAGAATGGTACCCACACTTGAGTGAAGGTGGTGTGCTTACAAAAGTTCAAGAGGCAAAGCACTGATGATAGCATTTATTCATAGTGCAAAAATGCTGCATAGCCACATACGTAGGGTCTTATTCCTTGAAGTTTCTTTTAGCTTATGAGATTAAACTTCTTTTGATGAGAGAGAGAAAGCAGGTTGGAAAGGAAATAAAGCAAATTTAAGTCCTGATTAAGTATAAAAATAGCTTAAAACAAATACAAAGATATGTAAGCAGAGACTAACCCACTCTTTGAATTTGACATTATTTTTATACCTCTCATTCGTAAGTTTAATACTTTTATGAGACTAATCTGTTAGCAGAAGCAACTTAATTAACCTAAAACATTCTTAAATTTGAACTATACAGCTTATTATTTAATGAACCAAAGAATAAGACACAGAATTTTATGGTTTTCTTTACACATATCAGTACTTGCTTGTAGCATGGTCAGCTGGCTATGCAGTTCCTGGAATTACACAATACCTTTTATCTAAAATTCTAATTGTAGCACTTTGGGGACATGCCATTATTTAAAATCTGAGTATTTATGCATACACTTGCACTGGAAATTGTGTAAACAAATCATTCATCACTCTCTTGCCTGAATTTTCCATGGAATATAAGTGATAGTGTGATGCAGTTACTACTATTTATCATGCAGATTTGCTTTCTTCTCATTGTCTAGCAGTTACGTATTTATATAAGGTGTACACTGAATTGTAGCAAAAGACTGCAGTGTAATTTATGTTGATAAAATACTGATGATTTCTCAGTAAGGAAATGGTCTATGAGCAGTTCAGCTCTGAAAGTGCTATCATCTAATTAGGGAAAGGGCATGAAGGCTGACAATTACTAGACATTATCACAAAATCACATGGCATTTCTCAAGCCAATGAGTAGCTGTGACACTGTAATTAAGTTTTGAGAGTAAACATTTTAGAGTTTTAAAATCATTTCTATTGCATAATTGTGTGATATGACAGATGTGGCACTAGTATTAGAGAGTGCACAGCAGCTTTGAACATAAAACGGCAGTTATCTACATCTCCCTGGGAGCAGTGATTAGGTTTGGTGCCATTTCCTTTGAAGCACTTCAATTTATCATGCTAGTCTTTCGTGAAGAAGCAAAAGTGTAACGTAAAGAAGTTTTGTACGTAACCCTCCCTTACATTTAGCTCTGGTACTATTTGCATGGTATAATGACTATAGCTCATTATGTACACATATTTTGAAGAGCTACAGGAAAGCACTTTTGAAAGTTTGGCTGCAAGTCAAAGATAAATGAGGAAATAAATGTGTAAAGCAATTTTAACATTATGCAATGTATAATTGTATCCAGTACATAATGCACTATTAATATGTACAATTTATGGTTTATTTCTGAATTAAAAAATTAAAATGCAGATAAATCCACATGTGATATAGAATTATGTGAATGACAAAGGAAAGTAATGAAGAAATATTTCTTACCAAAGTTGTATTTTCAGAGCTAAGTGCCAGTTGCTCACACCTGTAATCCTAGTTATTCAGAGGCTGAGATCCAAGGATAGTAGTTTGAAGCCAGCCTGGTCAAGGAAGTC